GGGACTCAGGGGCCATAGGTCCCTGGGTGTCTGCAGTGCCAGGAACTCACTGGGGAGGCAGGAGTGTGTGTATATCATCTGGATGGGTATCCATGTGTGGTCACCAGCCTGGATAGCTGTTGAGTACGAATAGCTGTAGGGAAGCCAGGCGGTGAAGATGCAGAAAGTCAAGGTTGGATCATCAGTGACTCTGTGATTTGGCTACTGGAGGGCACAGGAGATCCGACCCAGCTACCAGGAAAACCACGAGGTTGGTTGGCTTACTCAGAAACTCATTTGCACACGTCTGTGTGTGCCCATGACAGATGGAGATGAGAAAAGCCAAGGGCTAGTTCCCAGTGAGACTGAGCACCAACTAATGGGGTGCTCACAACTCAGTGCATACGTGTGTGGTGTGGGTGTGTACAATGGGTCCAGGGCCAGTTACTGGCATAGATTACATGTCTTGGACCAGTTACTGGGGGATCCACAGTGCACTGGGAAGGGGGGCAATGCATGTGTACCTGTGAGTGATGGGGACTGAGCAGCAGCAACTGCAGAGAGTCCAGGGGCACTGAGGGCTTGTACTTCCAGAGACCAGCAACTGGGGAGACTGGAGGCACTTCCAGGACCAGCTCTTGAACAAACTGCAAGACTGAGCTACTTAGTGGGGGGACCCATACTGTATATACATATTGTATGTATTTCTCCACTAACATACCTTCATCCTGATCAGTTAGAGAGGGGAACAGGATGAGGCTGCTGGTGTTGTCCGTGCCCATTTGACTGCTGCATGTTTGTGTCTGTGGTGATCCATGCATCCAGCACTTGTATGGATGTATGTGTGCTCATTTACATTGGAATTACATGCCCGGCTCAATTCTGGTTCAACCTGAGTATAGGTAACAGCAGCAGCCTCACCTCTATGAAGCTACCAGCTCTGGCAATCCCTACCACTTTCTTCTGTGGATCTATCTAGACGTTATTTGGAAGGCAGATATGAGATTGCTCTACCCATATTCTGAGCATTGCTCTAATTCTCTCTGCCTCATTCCCAGCCAACTGGAAACTATAAAATTGTGGTTATTATAGTACCAAGCCTCAGCTAATACAGTTTCTCCAACAGCAAGGCATCAGTAGCAAGACATTTGCTCTGAGCTTCCAGGCAGCTCTGAGCCACCGTACTGAGCTTACAATTGTCTGTAAAATACTATGTGAAATACACCCTGCATTAGCAGGCAAAGTGTGCCAACAAATCTGAGAGCAAGATTTTTTTTTATTTTTTTTTTTTCCTTTTTTAAACTGCCATTTGGAGGGCAGTAGGTCCTCACACACTTTAAACAGCAGCTAGCTGAGAGAAGCACTCCCACTTTCCCCTCCGCATAGCACTCGTGCTCTCCCACATCCCACTCGTCCACTACCCTCTCCATTGTGCAGTGAACACAGGTGGGTTGCATGGATGTGCAGCAAACTGACCCAAAGGAATGTGACAAATTAAAACTAAGCTGGCAAAAAATAAACAAAACATAATTCCTTTTAGTGTAAATCAGATTCACAATTAAGTTCACAACTGCGCCTGCATGAGAGAAGGGTTGGTAAAGGTGTGGAAATGAATGGCTGACTTAGGAGAATGACAGCTGCATTCCTTCAGCAGCAACATGGGCTTATGCAGGAGTAAAGCATACATGAAACCACAGCCTAAAGTACTTAATTAAAGACTTTCCAATAAGCTAAAGTAGAAAAGGTTGAGACATTTGATGAGTACTGCATCCATATTAAAAAGAATAAGCATAGAAGGTTTTGAGTTAAATGCAAAAAAACCCCAAAAAACAACAAAACAAAACATAGAAGAATTTGAAAGAGAGGGTGAAAAATCCACCTCAATGAATTGAGGGTGAAACAGATTTTTTTGTAAGAGAGCAAGTTCTGGACCAAAGCCCAAACCAGAACTTCCACATGTAGTCACTGACAGAGGAATTAGGATTTGCCAGGAATAAATCCTCCAGCCTAGAAATGTACCTCAAAAGAAGCAAACCTCACTCTGCCACCCTGAACATTACTGAGAACTCAAAATACTGAGAATTCAAATAAAATGGAAAGACATGAAAAGTAGGTATGCATGTAGAGCTCATAATGGAGTCCCATTAAAATATTCTGAACTGCTTCTTCCATTGCAAGCTCACAAGCCAAACAATCTCTCTCAAACGAGGAGAGGGCACTACAGACAGGCCAAACGAGGAGAGGGCATCTAGCTGCAGCCATGCAAGAGTCTGTCAGCTCTGTGTGCACAGTACCCCCCAAATGATGAGCAGGAGCACCCAACCCACAGTGAAATCTTCCAAGAAACAATGGACAATGACACAGTAGAAAATCCTTTTTTTAGGAATTTGCATCCAAATAAAATACCTATTTATCCAGAATGGGACACTGGGTGCAGTGAGTGTTATTTTTTTCAACATTCTGTTTCTAACTTGCAAAATAAATAAAACATGGAAGAGATTTTGATGGCTGCAAACATGCATTTGCAAAAAGTAATGAAAAGCAATCCAAAATTAGATTTTGTAGATGTCAGTCTAGGAACAGAAAGAAAGATACTTTGTCTCAGCTAAAACATGGATTACCATAGCTACTCATAAGGATGAGACCCTCTGGAAAGCAATTAATTATTTTCATTTCACAAATACCAACATATTCACACCAAAAAGGATGCTCCCAGGCCTGTTTTCAATTTAAGGGCAAGGGAATGTTCTCAATACCTCCTACAATTTTTACCTAAGACACCTGAGATACTATGAAAAGGTATCTTCAAAGGGCTACACAACATGTCATTTAGCAATTGAAAACAAAAACCTGAGAGAAGGGTCAGAGATATCTTAGGTTAGCTTCAAATGAACAGTGACACTGAAGAAGTTCCCAAAGCTTGTCCCATTTGTCAAAAAAATGGATGAACTCAAGGAAAAGAAGTCTAAATCATGATGCAGGCAAAATTTAATCTCTGTGTTCTATTTTTTTTAATTAAGTTGGCAAGAAAAATCTTATGCAATAGTCTAAAGCTATTATTTTCACTTCTTTGTTATGTTTCTTTGGTAAAAGACCCAATGGTAAGTAACTAATTATGCAACTCCAAGTATTTTTGCTAGAGACAGTGTAAAGCAAATAAAAACAGCTTCCAGTGAAGCACAAAAGCATCAGAACAATGAGGTAACCACAGTAGCCTACAACACTCTACGTTCAGCAACTAAATTTCAGTAACTTTTTTGTCGCTGTTGATACTGTGTTCAAGAGAAGAAGAATACTAGAACAAGAAAAGGCATGTCCAAGTCCCTGGAAAATTGCCCAAAGAAATTGAGAGACCTATGCAAGAAAAGCAGATTAAAAAAATCCCCCAAATTACACAGGGCTTTGAGAATATCCCTCACAGTGGTGTCCACAGTTCAATATTATTAGGACTATCATTTCAGTTAGGCATAAATAAAGGAGGAAAAGTCAAATTACAAAAGGGATGGAGACAAAAAGACTGATCTTACAACGGAGACCCAGTTGTCTTCTGAAGGCTGCAGTGATAACTTTCTGGTGGAGCCAAAATTCAACCACCCTGACCCCGAACCTCACAATTAACTTCTTAGCAAGCTTAAGTTTTCAATATTTTCAACTGTGTGTTGTTTAACATTGGCTTAATTTTCTGTTGAGTTCTGCCTTGAAAATTCATGTGTGATAGATTTATGGACTGAACTACCCAGAGAGAAGTTTCAACTCAGTGTTATGAAGCTCTCCTTGCTTACGTGCCTTTTACACCAGGCAATGGGCAAGAAAATCCTGAGAACAGGGAACTGTGGGAACCTGCGTCCCCAGAATGCCCCTACCACAAGGCAAAAACTCATGGTCCTTTTTTCACTTGCTTTCAATCTTACTGCACAAAGGAAATTGACCCAGATTCAGAGACTAAGTTAAGATCTTCCTCCTCTCCTCCTTCAGCAATATGGGACGGTCTGCTGGTGGGCATGGTCTCCCGGGATAGGCTCAAGGCCTCATAGCTTCTCAAGACCTGAAATGTGTTCACCCGGAGGGCTACCATGCAAGATTTGGTTCACCTAATTATTACAACCCAGCAGGTACTTTCCAAGAAAGGAGAAGACCCTGTTCATTAGGTACCAACATTAAGAAAATTATGCAGATCCAGAGACTGGATGCCCAGGCAACACAAGACCTGCAGTTTCAGCGCTTCGTTTCACAAGTTCTAAATTAAAAACTACTAGCTGGCGGTGTTCATTTTTAGTTATAAAGCAAAATCACTGCTGTTTACATGGCTCATGTCCTAAGCAACTCAGAAACTGCCTGGTTCCTTGTGCGTTACCATGGCACTGTGGATTAGCTGAGGTGAGTGTCTACGAGAGGAGGCTGGAGAAAGTGCATTTCAGCAAAGACATTTGCCTTAACAAACCATTTCACAAACCTTCAGTTAGATGATTTTCATTTAGATTACACTGTAAACCTTTCCCATTCGCCATGCAGACCTTCTCTCAGGAAAGATTACTGCATGGCTGGAAGTTCTACCATGTCCCTTTTTGCAAGACAGATTGTTGTTCAGGACTTCAGTTTTGAAGTTGAAATTTTATTTGTTGCCCTTTACCAGCAAAATAGTTTGACCTCCTCTTTCTTACTTTTATTTCTATGTAAGAGCTTTTTAAGGAACATTCATTTATTCATTTGGAATATCACTTATTTCTTAATTCATATAACACACTTTGCCCCTAACAAAGAACTAATCCAGTTGTTTCCCATAAAAGAGTATTCTTCTTCAAGAAATTTCGTTGGAACACAATCGCTTGTGAATGATAAAATACAGTGATATTAGCATGAATGATAAAGGCATTTTTTTCCTATAACATACCCAGGAGTCGCAAGCCATACACATCTAATGCACTGTAACATTTACTTCTGTTTAGAGAGTAAATTTAGATTTTCAAATTATTATCAATTTATTTACAGTAAAATGGAGGATTAAAAGTCAGGTTTCATACCTAGCTTGGTGAATAGCTTCTACCCATTCATCTCCATCAACTTCATCCTCGCATCGGAGTTCCAGTGGCTTCTGCCCTTCATGGCCAAAAAGAACAGTAAAGTAATGCTGCAAATTAGAACAAGAAAAAACAAATGTTCAGAAACTCTTTTAAATAAAATAGATAAATCAGGGTTTAAAAAAAAAAAATTAAGAATCTGACTTTTTAAGCACAGTGCAAAGCATTGCCAGAGCAGGAAGATGTGTTTTAAGCTATTAGTCATGAAACATGGATTGAAGTTGAAACTGTATCCTTGACATATTCCCCTGGGTATCAAGGTAATAGCTTTCATGATACTTACTGTAAGTTACTGTTCTTAAGCTCCCACATACAAGACAACAGAATATAATTCCCTAAGCAGCTTCTACAGTCGAATACAATAGCGTGACTGTAGTGGGGTCTCTGCCGTTCTGTGCATTTTTTCACCTAGAATTTTCCTTAGATGCCAGTACAGGATACTCAATCTGGAACTGTCACTGCTTCCTCACAAGAATGCAGATTGTGCTCAGGCTCTAGGTTATTTCCTCACCTTTCCAGAAGAACAAGGGAAGTGTTCCTTCTCATTCATCACACTCCCAAAACATTTTTGCTCTTCTTTCAAGAAGCCTCACCTCTAATTGCCATTGCAACAACTTTTTGTTTTCAGAAGAAAATGCTGTTCACACAAGAAGGGTCATATTCTTCAAGGGCCTTTCTTATATGAAGGACATTGCCCTTGGTATGTTTCACAGAACACAGACTTTCAGGAAAATTTTTGCTACTTTCAGAATGCGGTAATACTAGCAGTATCTAGTGGGGAGGGGAGAACCCCCAGTCACCCACCTTAAAACCCATTTCACAAGGTTGGTCATTTACAACCTTATTTTGCACAGCTTCCATATTAATGTACAGCCACATAGCAAATGGAATTCACAGAATCATTAAGGTTGGAAAAGACCTCTAAGATCATCCGGTCCAACTGTCAACCCAGCACTACCATGCCCACCAAACCCACTAAACACGTCCCTAAGTGCTACATCTACATAGCTTTTAAATAAATACTTCCAGGGATGAAGACTCAACCACTTCCCTGGGCAGCCTGTTCCAATGCTTGATAACCCTTTCAGTGAAGAAATTTTTCCTAATATCCAATCTAAACCTCACTTGGCGCAACTTGAGGCCACTTCCTCTTGTCATATCACTTGTTACTCTTCCAACTTAAATGAAAATAGGTAAAATACTCTACCTAAACGCACACCTGTAACTTCCATAGGTGCCTTAAATGCACCCATTAGTAAGCCAGCTGTTTCACAGGCAGAGGGACCTGTGAGACCTGCCCATACATAAAATAATCTGGTTATTAGGTCTGATGTGATTCAGAAGGTTTTACAGGTAAATGTCTCTGCACCAGTTCTCTTCATTACCTAGATTTTTTTCTTCCACCTTCATCCCAGCGAAGAGGGAACTGAGTATATAAACATGTGGCAGAAATTACCTTCTGGGGTCTAAAGCAAATTCCAGACTCACTCCAGTCAGCAAGTGAGGTATATAATTTGCATTCGCCCACGCCATTAGCCATTGTTTACAGCAGTAAGAAACCTGAAGTGATGTCAACAAACATTCTGCTTTCCTTGTCAAACCCACAGCTCAGCTGAAAAAGCCTCTCTGAGCCAAATACTGTGCTGGAGATCAAGCAAATATAAACGACCTCAGAATTAAGAGCTATTTCCAAGGCAGGAGGAACACAAGCATAAACAGAAACAGAAGGGATGAAATTTTACCTACGGAGAATTGGCTGCAGATATTGTCAACACTGATAATGAATTTTGTCCATATAAAAAGAGATTATTTCAGCCATTTATTGGCCTCTTCTGAAACATCTGGCAGCCCGCTGTGCACACACCACACACAAGTTCGCCGCGCAGCGAGCACAGAGCAGGTTCAACGCACCCCAGATGCACTGGATTCACTACACTGGCTCTAGCACTGTCTGTGCACCTGTATTTGCATCGAGGTTTGTGCCTGGGGGACCTCACATTTACAAAACCCAGCTGCCTCTCTGCATTTGAGTACGCTCATATGTTTGGTTTCTTTTCGGGTAACATGAGTAGTACGACGGCATTTCATAAAGAGAAAACTATTCATTTGTGCATTACATTAATTTAATAAACATTGTTATGTGTATACAAAACAATTTTCATGCAGAAGACCATAAACACTGCAGGATTAGCAACAGACCAACAAAAGAGAAACAAGGCAAAATAAGAAGCAGCGTTCGCATTTAACTGGCTCTACAAAGAAAGTCCAGGCTCAGAGTCATCAAATTTCATAAACTAAACAACTCCAGAGCACCAACAAGGATCAATTCATCAAAAGGACAATCCTATAAAACTAGGTTTTGTCAACAGTTCTCTTAAACCTGAATACCATGAATAGAAATAAACATTTAATCAGGTCCATAGCAGTGACAGATAAAAACTTTTATAACAATACAGTGCAGTTGAGAACTTACAGGACAGTAAAAAGTGCAGCAAGATTACACACAAGTGTGCTCTGTTTATAGACTGGAATAGTCTATTTTTAAAAGTATATTTAAAGATAAATCACACTGTTCAGAGCTGCATTTTATGTAACAAGTTATTTGTGTTTCATAAAGCTGCTACATATAAAATTAGAATAAAGACACAAGTGTAGACAAGCACTGGATTTAATCCCATTGTGTAGGTATTCAAGTTAAAGGGAGACACAGTTTTACAGTCCTCCCTACTTTTTCTTTTAAAGTAAGATAACTCAGACCTCTTTTGAGGAAGACTTGCAGTAATGTCATGTCGCAGAATTTAGACTTAGAGGTGTGCAGTTACTATGGTGATAGGCATCATCTAAACGCTTATTAGGCCAAGAAAATGCACAAACAAGCTCAGAGGGCTACTGCACTAGGACTGGACTCAGTGGAAAAAAAAGCTAAATTACAAAAGGCATTTGTTTGCAGAAGCTACTTTAAATATGATCTCTATCCTTCACCCCTCTCAAACATGCATTTTGCACTCAAGTATCAGTATTAGCTACCATATCATTTACCCAGAAGTAATCAACTCTAGAGCAAGCAAACTGCAAGTAAAATATCATAACATGCCTCCAAAAAGAGTAATTCTTGAATTATCTTTTTAAAATAAACGTTGCTGATGTACAAAACTAATTTATTACAAGAAAATAAGACGCTATCTGTAATGCATTATTAGATTTTCAAGAACATGACGTATGTGAGTGGGCCTATATACATATATATATTTATATACAGACATATATAATTTTAGCACTGCCATTCAATCTGCTAAAAAGCTCAGCTTGCACATCACTGCAGTACATAACAGGTAAAAAACACTTCTGTGCATACACACACTTAGTTCCTTGAAATGATGACAGTAAATATTTAAGAGCTATAGGACACATTTACATCAAGTCCTTTCATCATCACTCATCATGTCTGTTGGACTAGCAGGCAGGCACTCACGTTTCAAGTTAAGTCCCTGGTTCAGTTGAACATTTTTTAAATTTTTGTTTATTCTGAAAATCATCAGGCTCACAGAAGATAAAATGAATATTCTGTATTTTGATATAAAACAAATTCAGTCATTTCATTTTAAGGTGTGTTTTCAGTATGATGGTACACACATAAGTCTTCATTTTAATAAAAACACCTTTGGCAGAGTTCTCCAAAGTAAAGGTTGGAAAAAACAGGAGGGAAAGTTTCATACACCTCACACAGGTATGAAGGCACTGTCTTGACTGACAGACAAGGAAAGAAAAATGGGACCAAGTTGCATTCAGACTATTGTTGTTATCACTTCTCTGACTTGTAGCTGGTGCTAATCAGAGTTTCTTCCTAAGGTGAAAAGGAAAGACTAAGGAATGAGCTGATGGGCACCTTTGCTTCAGAGACAAGACTGGAAGAAGATTAAGACCCTAAGTGAAAGAAGTTCCGTATCAGAGTACACTGATTATTATTTCCTCTGCTCCCCACTGACAGCAGTTCACACTGTAACTTTTTCCTTATAAAACTGCTCAAATAATGGCTGTATTCAAAATAAGATAGCAAAACCTCTGTAGTTCCCATGTTTTCCAAGAGGAAAAACAAACATTGTTGGGGTGGGGGGAAGAAAAAGAAAAGAGAAAACCCGCAACCTAATAATTGAACCACGGAATGGTTTGGTTGGGAAGAGGCCTTTAAAGGTCACCTAGTCCAACCCCCAATACGTGCCCTGTAACAGAAACACTACTTTTAAGGCATACTGAGGTAGAACTTCCACCAATACAGACACCCCCAGACTAGATTTCCTGACAGCAGAATGCCGTTCCCCTCCTGACTGATGACAGCATTTGCTGTTCATGAAGTGCAAGTCACGCTGGCACAGACACCACACTATCCAACGCACAGGGATGGTCCCACAGCTCATTCTCTTCCCCAAATCTCACATGGAAACTGCAAAGAACATTTCCTGTCCTATCCCTTATCTCTTATCCTCTGATAAATTATCACTACATCTGTTTCACCGGTTGCTCCTTTTCATCTTCCAGTAGCTGTAGTAACCCAACGTGTCTTTTGTATTTGTAAATTAGCAGTGATGCTTGCAACAATTCCATTACTGAAACACCTAAGGACCAAGGAGGACGAGCACTCATCTTCCCACAGTGGTGCTGCTACCTGTCACAGGCAGAAAAGAGGCTGCTACCCTTGGTAATAACACTGTTCAACAATTCTTACTGCAAGTTCCTGCCTTCAGCTCTTCATAAATTTGGTTAGTTTTGAATGCCCAGATGGAAAAACTCACACTGGAGAAGCGATGCATGTGTCAACAGTGGTTTTGTTATCTTACCCTTCCATTCACATGGCATATAAACATTTAAATTATGTTTTGAAGGACTCCCAGGTGACTACCAAATTTTTTTTATTGTTGTATTTTGTGTATTGTGAGTGACTGTAGTGTGGTAATAGCTACTTGCCTATGAACTGCTTTTCCATAAACTTTTCTTACTAAACATTGATAAACATTGCACAGTCATTCAAGTCAGGACTTTGAGAATGATTTTTAAAAGAATATTCCAGTCATCAATATTTATAAGAATGGAGACTATGAATGCAAAGCAACTGTGAAAAGTTAGTCTGTGTACCAAGATTGCTACCAAAAATTAAGAGCCTGAACAAAAGTCTACCTTCAGTATGAAGCATGAGTAATCTTAAACATTTGCTATATCTTTAAGGTTTATATTCACTACTTGATGTTTATAAGGGCATGTTAAAAAACCTTTGAGGCTAAAAAAGGTGGGAGACACAACTAATTAAAATTTAAGATGACAAGCTAAAAATATTTCTCACTCTTGACTCCTAAAGGCATTTTCATTTCAGAATCTGGAAGCCTGAATGCAGTCTCAAGCACTAGTAAATTACCAGGCAGAAGAGGACAATCACTGCAGCAATTGAAAACTCCTCAATAATCCTTGAAAGAAAAGCATCCAACTGCAGTCTAAATCAAAGCAGCTTGTGCTATTCAAGGACATGTTAACTCATGAAGTTTTCAGATGTGTTCTACTGACAGACAGGATTTTGCCCAGCTTCTCAAATACAAAACATTATGTGTGTTGTATATTTCTTACATCCTAGGGAAAGGGAAGGAAAAGAAGGGAATACATTTGGAAGAAGGTGGCATCCCTAAAAGGGAACCAGTGCAAAAGGATCAGGGAAATGTTTGGGGGAGAGGAAAACAATTCCTCCCCATCAATGGATCTTTATTATGTTAGTGGGAAGGAGAGTATTGTGCCTTGAGTCAAGGGAAGGCAAATGCCAGGCTTGGGCTTTGCCTCATCTTAAGACTTACTGTTCAACTAGCACTGGCAGGAAATTTGTAGCCCATTGTTGTTAAATTAGCATGAGAATGGAATAATGACAGGAGGGTGAAAACCATGACCATTTTTCTTTAAGTTTCCCAGGAGACCTACAAGCCAATACATTTCATGTTTGCATCACACCAATTAGTAGAAGCTATAATGAGAACAGGATTAGTGGACACCAGGATTAATATGATGCACTTGGGAAGAGTCACTATGGCTTTTGTAAAATGTCATCTCCTCTAAACACAGTGGAGTTCTCTGAAGGGGTCAACAAGCATTTGGATTATGATGATATGGTTTTCAAAATGCTTTTGACAGATTTTTAGGGAAACGCTTAAGCATCTAGGACTCCCAAGAGAAATGTCCCTCCACGTACAAAAAATTTAAAAAACCCCAAACTGATCAAAAGCCAAGAAACAGAGCTGGAATACAGGGCCATCTGTCAGTTCTTACAATGGAAAAAGGTCATCAAAGGACTTCCACGGGGAATTGCAAATTATAATTAAGCCTGTCCCAATCCTGGGACAGGCATTACAAAGGATGACAAAGTTTGTTAATTATTCAAGAAGTAATGATGAGAACCTATTATGAAGAACTGCAGACTCAACACGCCTGAGTTACTGGACAGCAAAATGGCAGATGAAATTTGTTTTACACAGATGTAAAGTGACATACATGAGGAAAAACATTCCA